CAGGGGGTTTGGGAAAAGTGAGTCACAGCGGGAAGGGAACAGAGCCAGGGCTGGAGCTGAGAAAGAGAGACTAGCAAGAAAATTTTAAGGATCTAGATAAGACCCTGAGAGAATAGAGTGCTGGAGAGAAGCAGAAAAACTATCTCTAAAAGAGGGAGCCATACATGAAGTTTAGGGAAAGCTTTAGGGAAAGCTATAGCTTAAAAGCAGGTCAGGCTGTTTCTGTACACAAATGGTGGTTGAAATACGGAGCAGGCTGCCAAAGTCAGCAGTGGAGGGACAGAATTGTGCAAATCACTTCAAGAGGCAGTGCGGGCACATTTTTGGAAAATGAGGGAATCACTAGGTATAGCCATTAGTGAGGCTTGTGGAATTAAAACTATGAAATGCGAGTTGGTTTACAGGAATACAGGAGCGAGCTCTGCTGCCCTCCATGGTTCTCACACCATGGCTGTAGCACCCTGCAAACTTCAGACACTTGCCTGTGCAACTCAGAGCGTTCTCTTAACTCACGGAGAATTAGGGATGGCAAAGACTTCCAAAAGGAATTTCTAGAAAAGCCCTGGAAATTGCTGCAAAAGGCAGTATTTACATCAGGGTGAGTCACTGGGGTCTGAAAGCCCTCTTTGCCACAGCACAGTTGAGGACTTATGTTCACATTTCTGGAGGAGCAGTGCAGCTCACATGTCATTTAACTGAGCCATGGTGTCCTTAATTGTTGTGTTTCTGCCCCACTTCTCCTTAGACTGACCCTGACTTTATTTTAAGGATTTTATACAGCAACTTGATAAAGGCCCACACCACCCAACCCATTCTGGGCACAGCAAGGTTTGACCAAGCACAAGCCTGCAGGAAAAACAGAGTGAGATTAAAGACTCCGTTATGATGCTTTATGAATCTGAATTCAAAGTGTTCAGAGAACCTGAATGCTGTGCTTTGCAAATCCTTCAGAAATGTCACATCCTTTCAGTGCAGTATTCTGGATGTAACACAAGCAACAGACAGAAATTAAAGTACTCAATCTGAACCCATTTTGCAAATAGCTTTTCTAACCAAAGTACAAATAAATCCCTTAATAAGTTTGATTTTAAGTGGCCTAATGAAAGACTACACAATTCCCTCAGTTCAGTTATTACAGTGATCAAGACACTGACGGTAACCCAGCTCCATTTTTAATTAAGATTGATCTGCAAAAGGTTTGTTAAAGACACCCAGACTATTTCAAAGGAATTTTTCTACCTACACAGGATGTAACTGTCCAGAGGAAAACTGGGAATAAAAATCTGAGAATGTCATCAATCAGACTCAGAGATACAATGAGTTTAAGAACTAACCTGTATTTCACAGGTTGCATGCATCAATAATCAAACACCATTCAGGTTTTTTAACTAACTAATACAAACTTGCAGCCTGTGTTTATGTCTAGTGAACAGCACAACCTTTAGAAATGTTAGCTGAGATTAGAAAAGATAAAGAAAAAAAAAAAAAGAAAGATCAGATAATTTTTATTACTAGTTACTGGTGTAATTTATATGGCTTACCTAGACAAACAAATGCTTGTTTTGCATTTAGAAATTTAGAAATTTCTAGAAATGAAATTTAAACAAAGTTGATGGGGAATGATTTGGGAGTGTTTTCTTATCAGGCAAGATAGTTGCTTAAGGCAGAAGCCTCAGCTATGGAATGAGGTGCTGAAACAGCTCTGGAGATGAACTTTACCATGATGACACTAAATTTGGAAAAGAGGATGTAGAGGAAAGATGCTCAAGAATGAGCTTGTAAAAGCCCCATATTTTCTTTCTAGATCTGTTTCTTACACTGCACTCATCACTGTGGTATCTTGAGTGCTTTCCAGTAGTGCATTAAGCAACATGACAAACATCTGTCACATGTTTGTTCTCTCACCCTCTCCCCAGAGGGACAAGTGTGTGCAGTGGAGAGCCTTGTTTTAATTTTTTTTTTAATTATTATAAATACACATGCACGTAACACATTATTAAACATTCGTGCTAGAGAGGAAAGGTCAGATAAACTTCTCTTGCTCTCAGGATTAGAGCTGGTGAGCTTTGTGATGTTCCTGTATCACACCCTTGCCCCAGACTGCAGTGTCTTCTCAGAGACTAAATCATGGCCATGGGTGTCTGCACCAGGCAGAAACCAAAAGTTTGGATTCCCAATGCCACATTTACTGTTCCCACTTCAGCCCAGGATTTTGTCAAGAAACATCAAATTGAATAAGGTGGTAGAATTTAGGGAAGAATATGTGCTTTGTATAATCCCCAGTCTTATTCCCATATTTGATACAGACTAAGAGCAGGATTTGATGGAACCTCAAAAGCATTGTCAGGTCAGAGGCACTGTGAGAGTCATGGTAAATCTAGGAATTTCATGGACTGAAAAAGTCTGATTTCAACAATGGAATGAAGACCTGGGATTGAATGATTTCCCTACAGGGCAGACATAACTGGGAAAACAATCTGGAAATTTGAGTTTGGTCAGACCCTGAGGAACTGCAGATAGACAACAAACTCATTCAAGAGCCACAAACACATTGTGGGAATCCCAAATTAATCCCCAGTGTGGGATGGGGCCATTTCCCATGGACAGAGAAGTAGGTGTGCACTGGTAAGTAAATAACTCTGCCTCTACCACCTCAGAGAGAAATGAAGCCGCTCTGCCACATGCCAAGGAAACTCCAGCATTGCTGTTGCTTCCTTCTAATGACTCCCACACCTCTAGTTCTCCAGTAACTCTCTGGACAGTTAGGAAACAGACTATTTCTGTAATGGACAGTGATCTGGGTCACACTGAGTGCCAAGAGCTGGAGCGTCCTCTCTGGCCTCGCTCACAGGCAGAGCTGCAGCATCACTGCTAAATCCACCAGTGCTCCTTCCCATAGTCCACAAGAGCTGGGCTGCTCTGGGATTGCACCAGCCCAATCCACATTTGGCACTGCTTTCAGCACATAAATGCTCACTCTCTTCCTCACCCCGTATCAGTCACAGCTGTAGGACGTATCTGTAACTACTGCAATACTGGAGATGCCAGCACTGAAACCTTTTCAGGTGCCTGCTGTTCTCCTCCTGCCCTATTTCCCTCAGACACAACCTTTAGGCCATCAGCCTTGCTCCACCAGCATGGATTTCCCTGCACAGGTGGGAGCAGACCCACTCCAAGTATCACCCTTTCCTAGGGAAGGCAGGAGGCTGCCTCACTTCCCACAACTTTTACAAACCCAGATCTTGGCCAGAACATCAAAACCCTCCAAAGGTTTCCAGATGGGGAAGCAGCAAGCTGGCAATAATTGTTTTTCTGTCCAGCTGAACTTACCATCAAGAACAGCCAAAAAACATGAATACATAAGTAAATCGATGAATCATTTTAGCTAGAGTAACTTGTTATTCAATGTATTTTCATCCATCTTAAAAGGCAAATTCGTGTTTACTCATATATGAAGCTCCTAAAGATCAAATAAATTTTCTTTGCTCCAGCACAGTCTGCAACAAAAAGGATTGGAATTGTACAAGTATCTTATTTCCAGCTTTTGTAGGAACGGGGACTACAAAGCTCATGAGGTCCCTGCAATGACTTGCCTTGAGCTGCCTGACATTGGGGTGGCAGGAGGTAGTCAATTGTAGTCCCCAAAAGTCTTCTTCACACCTGGGAATGTGCTTTTCAGTGTCAGGACACAACAGTGAGCTCGGCAAAGCAGCTTCAAGACTTACACTGTGCAGAAATGCAAAGAACAGCCTAACATAAGAGGCCTTTAGCTTCTCTGTCGAAGAAAGGGAAGATGTATGTAAAATATTTGGACATTTGGGGAGAGGGCAAACGTTGAGAACTAATTCAAACTGTTGATGGTTTATTTTTTATTGAATCTTGTGGTTGAAATTATTTTCATTTGTTATGAGAAAGAATCCATCATTTTTTCCAAAGCACCACCCAGAATCTGCCACTGGTGATGTTCTAACATCCCCAGTGCCTATACAAATAGAGAGGTCAGCTGAGATTTGTAAACTAGAGATCATAAGTTTTAAGGAATTTGTTTATTCAGCCTAGAGTCTCCAAATTGTGTACTATGCCAAGCTTAAGAAGTCATCTCACTGTACTGTGTCATGTTACAATAAAAAACTCTCCAACATTTTGGATGTTCAGATGAGAAAGCAAATTGTAATTCATTTGTCAGCACATGCAGTTTAATTATAATTAAGTACATCCAGCAGTCATAATGGAGCAGGCTAAATGAAAATGCTGTTTTAATACTTGAATAAACCTGCATTGAGTGCAAACTAAAAGCTGCCTGAATTACTCTGAAAAGTATCGGACTAGAACTTGCAGTTTTAGCTCTACTGTGCGAATACAAACATGCATAAACTGGTTCCAGAGGCTTGAACAGATTGACTGAATTAGGAGAATTTTCATGGGAATGACAAGAGGCAGATTTCTTCCTGATGAGAGGTTCCACCTACCGCCTAACAAGTTCCAAGTCCCTGTCCAAAGCATGGAGCACAGGAACCATGCAAGAGATCAGCAGAGTCCTTTTAGTACCAGCAGAACAACATATTTCTAACTCCTCTCCTTCTTGAGAAAGAGCTGAACTACATTTGCTGAAATTTTCTGGAGTAGTTCAGCATGAAACATCCAACCAGCGTGGGAAAAAAAACCAAAGCAAAACAAAACAAGCAAATGATTCAAATATGATGAAGCTGCAAAAAGTTCACAGAAAATTCTAGACTGACAAGTACAAAATATTAATGGTATTTAACAAACAAGTGTTTAAAATAACCATATCTGAAAATAGCTACAAAGGCAGTGTATGAGAATTAAAACATTACCAGATTTCTGATAGCTGCAAGTGTTGAGATGACATCTTGGGAGTGCATCTGAACTTTTCTGCTTGCACTTATAGGTAGCTTGAAGATGTGTAAAGCGTTTCCACAGGCTAAATACTTTAAGTAAATGTAACTACTAATATTGCACTTGTTTTCTTTGTTATAAAGATATAGATGAATGTGCAACTGGAACCCACAGTTGTAGAGCTGACCAAGTATGTGTCAATTTAAGAGGGTCCTTCAGCTGCCAGTGCCTTCCAGGCTACCAGAAACGAGGGGAGCAGTGTGTTGGTAAGTGTTGCTTTCCATCCAATGGTTTTCATTCATTATCTACCATTGCAAACTTCATATTGGTCATAAAGCAGATGAGTATGTGTGGTGTGAAACATCTGTTTCACTTTGGAATGCAATGGAATAGTCACTTTACCACAATAATTAATCACTAAAACATGGGATGAGGAGCTATTTTAAGGACAATCAACACTTGGAGTTCACAAGCTGAGTTCTGCTAATAGTTCCCATTGTGTGATTGTTTGTGTTGGGGCATTGCCCAGTGTCCCAGAGATTGCCACGAGTTCTGGATGGCAGCAAAGCACACCATTCCCCAGAGATTCAGCTCCAGGTCCATGGAATAAGCCCCACCTCCCCCAGCCCCCAGCCCTGCTCCAGGACTCAGCTTTCTGAACACAAATGAGAGAGATGGAAATTCTGAATGCAGGTACAGGTGAGCTGCACCCTCTAAAACCCACCAGGCTTTATTCTCCGTGCCAGGATAAGCTATTGGCACCCTTGGGAGCCATGCAAGCATAGCATGGATTTAAACTCGAGTGCAGGGCAAACACCACCTCTCTTTGTCCCACCCTCAGGTGGGGACATTATGCCAAAGTGCCATCCCCCTGCTCCTTCAGCCTGCATTTGATTCCTCTTTAATTACCATTTCAATGGATAAATTGCTTCTAGAGGCACTCCAGCCATAAGCCTAGGGTTTGTCAGACTATGAAGGGTCACATCTAGACATCAGGAGGTGACATTCAAGACAGCCTCTTCTAAGACACTGCACTGGTTGTATGCAGCTTAGGAGAAAAGTGTTTGTGGTTGAGGGTTTTTCCTCTTTCAGGGATCCTGCATTTCAAAGTGTATAAGAATTTCAAAAATATATTTTTTAAATTTTTATTCTTAATCTCATCTCTTCTTGCTAAGGCCACAGGTAAGAAACTGAGAAGATTTTAGTACACACCTAGAATAACTTCAATTTCTGGACATAGCTCATTCTTCAGGATTCCAATCTAAGGGCTGTAGAAATAGTAAGAATAAAAATTCTTATATCTTTCCTAAGAGACACAGATCAGGCCTCGAACTGTAAAATTGCTGTAAACACAGGTGTATCTGATTTTTCTCAGTTCTCTGTGCAGGAGTAGGATGACTAATTTGAAATGTAGGTAGATTAATAGTTTTGGAAGGTCATGCATTTTTTTTTTTTAATATCTAGGGTTTATATGGATTTTTTATATAGCAGGTAAATTATATTACTGCCATACAACAGCACTTCTGATATCAAGACTCATGGTCCTAAATGAAAGTCTCAGTGGAAACAGGACAGAAGTGAGAAGGGTGATAGACCCTTATACCTAAATGTGAACACATTTATGCATCTAAATATATCTATGAAAAGGTCTGGAAAGTGAAATTTCCCTTCTCCTATTTAGGTCAAAACCAAGAATAACACCTGTATTACATATTACACACTGACCTAAATTACAAGTACATCCCAACAGTTAGTACTGTCAGCATTTCAGAATAAAGCCTGTCTTTAGGGATTTTGTAACAGCTTAGCCAGAAAATGTTCTTGGGGCCAGATCTTGATAGAGGTTCTCCATATGGGAGGAAATGTTTCTCAAATTTGAAAGAAATTTTTCCAGACTATTTTGGCTTGAAGGTAGAAGGAGAAAAAGAGACATGGTTTTAACAATTGGTCGATTTTAATCTAAATTCACTAACAATTTCTGACTTTTTTTCTAGTTTGTTTTGGTTTTTTTATAATTTGCTTGTTCACATATTGCCAAATGAGTCTTTTCTGAAATGCATGACTGCAGGGAGAATTAATTGTTTTCAAACAAATTTAGTCCAATTGATCAGATGAATCTCAGCCTTTAGATCTGCCCACAGCTGATGTGCCTAATCCCACAGGGAAAATTCCCACCGAATAAGAGCCAGATCCTGAAAGCATTTATGTGTATAAATGTACCAAAGCATTGCTCATATGTATAATCCTGTTTTTTTTTAAAGTTACTTATATGAGCTTAGGCCTGTAAAAGTCAAGGATGGAAATCTACTGTGCCTCCTTAATTTATTCCATTTCCACTTCCAAATTTCTCTCTGCAACAAGAGTTACAGTGACAATTGCTACTGTATGGATAGCCAGGAATTTTCCAGCATAAGCCTTTTCATTCAGAAACATCCAAAACACTCCACTAAGTTCAGCCCTAAATTTGACAAAGAAAGGGTTAACTTCTAAAGATTATTTTTTCACTTGATATTAAAACAAACACTTTCCTCATTATAAAAAAAAAAAAAAAAAATCTTGGCCTCTTCTTAAACACATCTATGGTGGAAACAGCTGGAGGTAGGAAATGCAAGATCTGGCATGGATGTGGGAAGTGCCTTTCTTTGTTCCAGTGAATGCTGCTCTGATTTGTGTGAGTGTTGATCCTTTGAAATGTCCCATTGTGTACAAGCCCAGAGCACAGCGTTGGATTTCTTCACCAAGCTCCAGCCGCCACGGCTCAAGGCAGCCACTGCGCACACACGCACACACACGATAATGCAATAATAAAACATGTTTTCCAGGCAAAACCAGAGCCACTATCTCCTCCAGAATGCAGGGAAGTCTTTTAAAATGCAAAAGTGGTAAGGGAATGGGGTGCTGAACGTTTTGTGTGGCAGGCAGGTGAAAGTCCTGCTCCGATGCACACCAGGAATGCTGACTCTTGGAAAGGCAGACTGCTCCACCTCAAAAGCAGGGCTCACCTGCAAGGAGAGGCTGTGCAAGGCTCTCAGTGCCAGAGATGCACAGCCAGGTGTGGTGCTGCTAGGTGGGAAGGTATCCAGGACAGGCAGCCAGGGGAATGGGAGCAATGGAAAACCCTTGAAGAGCAAGGCAGGGTCTGGGGATCCCTGTGGAAGCACAACCACCTGTTTCCTTTTCAGGCCCATTAATTCTCCATCCTTGCCATTCCCCTGTACTTGCACAGAAAATTGGACTGTTCCTAATGGAGCTGAAAAGATTTAGTATGTGCCAGGAGTGTCGCGTACGAGTTTTTGGGAAAATGAGCTCCAAGCCCCATTGGCTGTGTTGGTCAGCACCGTGTCTGATCCTGAGGGATCAGGGAAAGCTGAACAAAACACTCAGTTTTACCTGCACAAAATAAACCAGACCAAGCACTACTGCAGGACTGAGTCAATAAAATAAAGTTGGAATGCACAGTGAAGAGAAGGAGCATAAAAACTTGTTACAAAACAATCACAGGAAAAGATAAAGGGTATCTTGTAATATCCATGGAAGCAGTGCCCAGCTCACACAAGCTCTTCTGCTTTTAATCAAGTGCAATTAACTTCTCTCAGACACAAGAACAGCAGGGAAGTGCTGTGGTTCCATGTGAACTAACTGGTGTTTTTGGTGCCCCAGACATCGACGAGTGCACCCTGCCCCCGTACTGCCACCACCGCTGCGTGAACACGCCCGGCTCCTACTACTGCCAGTGCAACGCTGGCTTCCAGCTGGCCTCCAACAACCACACCTGCGTAGGTAAGCGCTCTCAGCAGCCCCCCGGACACACAGACACCAGCACACAACTGCCACAGACACACTGAAAGGAAATCAACACCAACAGGGAAAAGACTGTACTGAGAGGCTCCTCTCCTAGTGAGCTGAGAGTTACAGGAGGGTTGGAGACAAATTTAGAGCTTTCTTGAATGTCTGTTATTTTGTTGACATAACAGATTTCCAAGGAACATCTAAAGCCTTATATTCAGTATTTAATCCTAGATTTAATTATTCTTTCAGTTCTGCTTTATTATTGGCTTTCCTGATATTATTCCCAGTTCACATCACACAGGCCAGAACTGGGAATCAAAGCAATCAATACTATACCTCTGCAATTAAGGGCAATTACCCTCAGCACATGGTAAAGAAAGTCTTTAGACCACATTTGAATATCTAGAAAAAGTTAAAAATTCAAACAAGGTTCACTAAGAGTGATCTTTCAGCTGTGATGTTTGCCTTAGAAATACAACACTAAGGGAAGCTGCACAGTAAAACTTAAAGACTGATGTCCAGTTTGAAATTATAACATCTGTTCTAGAAGGATGAGAGTAATAATAAAAGGTAACTGTCTGCAGAAGCACAGAGAGAATGACTGTAAAATCAAGAGACTGGTGATGGAGATAGTCAGCTTATTATAGGTGTAATTTGTGTATATAAAATCTATATTATATACATAGAAAAACGAGGCTGTGTTTTCCACTTTCACCATCCCTTCCAAGTATTGCCAACCCTCACCAAGCACCCTGCAAGCTCTGCACTGAGACAGGAATTGCTTGGTTCCCACCAAATCATAGTATTTTAAAAATTGCCCATGCCCATGTGACAAAAGTCACTTATTTGTCCCTTTCCATGGCTCAAATGGAAGGTGAGTTCTTTCAGCACTTCACCAAATACCCCTTCCCTGGCTTTCCAGCCTCCCAGCCTCATCAGGCACATTTCTACCAGGTAAAGGGGAGGAAAGCTTAAGGAGAAGATTTATGAATGGATGGTTGCTGCATCAAGACAAACTGTCACATCTGCCACAGCAGCACTTGACAGCTGTAGCTATTAAATTTGTGTCACGACTTCTGCCTGTATTGAAAATCGGTCAATATTTCTTGGAAAATGAACAGAACTGGGGCTTTGGCCACCAGATTTATTTCTCCTGGTAGTATTGGAGAAGGAATGATGTACATCCTATGCACTGTTGCCAGAAGGGAACTCAGGGGAAGAAAAAGACTATATGATGAGTTTTCCCCTATTATCATTCATTTTTTCAGGACTAGGAGGAATGCAGAGAATTCATATCCTCTTCATTTGCTTCATTTTTGAGTACCTCATCTTTGTCAGTTTTTACATGCATTTGTAAAATTACAGTGTTGCTGACATTTATAAGCCATGAACTCAAAAGTTTTTTTCCAAGCACAGCTTTCTACTGATGGAGATATCTGATAAACACAAACACGAATTGAAAACATGCAGGAGGGAAACACAGGGAAAACCACTAAATCTACAGACTGACAGGAGCAGCAGTTAATCAACAGTCTGTGCCAAACGAGGGCTATAGATTCCAGAGGTGATTAGACTTATATAAACTTCCCATTAAAAATTGTTTCTCTTGTCATACCAGTGTCCTCAAAATGTTCTTGGGATGGGCAACACCATGGAAAATGTAGCACAGAAAAATACCTTCCCCCAATATGGTCTAGGCCTTAGAGCTCTGCAGAACTCTACTGGCCTCAAAGGCTCATGTTATAATTGCAATGGAATTTAAAAGAACAAATTTTCAGAGTAATAAATAGCTCAAATAAATCTTAACCACTGCATGCTGAGAGGTCTTATCAGTATGTGTTCCTTATATCAATTATTTATAGAGACTTGGCATTTCATACCTGCAAAAAAGGCGCTGGAATGTGGAGCTTAATAGCCACATTAAACATTTTTGAGAGAAATCGTCACACATTGGAATAACCCTCATTCCTGGAAAAATACTGGTTTTTACATGGAATATAAAGCACAGATCTAATATTGCTCCAGTGTCTGCAGATCTACATTGGTAGAGCCAGCTAAGCTTCTGCTGAGCAACAGGCCCAGCCTAAGGACTCATCCACCAAGCCTAATTACCACCTACACAATAAAAAGATCTCATTTTTCCTTTCAGACATAAATGAATGTGATGCCAACAACCCATGTGCACAGCAGTGCTACAATATCCTGGGTTCTTTCATTTGTCAGTGTAATCCAGGCTTTGAGCTAAGCAGTGACAGAATCAACTGTGAAGGTAAGACTTTTTCTTGTCTTGGAAAATCAATTTTTTTCTTTGTTTTTGTTTGCCCTGAAGCCTTTCTGTGAACTAAGGGACAGAATCAGAGACACTCTGTGGGTAGAGTTTGTAGCCAAAGCCCTTAAGATATTTTTTTTTTATGGTACAAAGGAGGCTAATTCACACCTGAGTAGCTGCTGGTATTTCAGATACAGGTAAGAATGGGTGTCTCTATAGGAAATGCAAAACAGGACAGAGATTGCTGCACTTCAGATATTAAGTGGGAACAAAGAGGTTTCTGAGCCCTGACTGCACAAACTCCCTGGAATTGTGGGTGGTCTAATACTGATGATCATTAAATGAATTGGAAAGGAATGCAAACCAAAAACAAGGGAAATTTTGTGTGTTGTTAGGCTCCTCTGAAAACAAAACCTCCAATTCCTGATTTTAAGGGAGTGACAAGTGTGCTTTTGAGGTGCTTTGCAGCCTGTGTACACAAACAGCATGCCTCCTGTACAATTATACAATCAACACTTTATTTCCTCTGCCAGAGGCTCCACAGGGGTGCCCTAATCTCCTTTTGGACACATGATGACCTCACCCTTGGAGCCCCATCCTTTCTACCAGCCTTGAAGGCAGAGAGGTCCCTGCTTCAGCACTGCCCTCCCCAATGAGCTGGGAGAGCTGGTACAGATGCTCCCTCTGCTAAACCAAGCTGCTTAACCTAATCCTATTTGAACAGAACAGGGAACAGCAAGCATGCAGCCTCCAAGGACATCCCTGACCCCAGCCCAAGAGCTGGGCTCAGCTCAGAGGTAGGAGGAGGGAGATCTGTGCTTCCCAAGCCAACCCCTCCTCTTGATGGGTTTAAATTCATTTCCTGTTGATGGCATACACCGTTCAGTTCTGTTTCACACCAGGCTGCCCTCATGAGGGACTGATGGATACACAGGGATAAAGAGGTAGGAGAATGCTATCCACTGATTATTATTAGAAGGCAAAAAAAGACCTTTCCCTCTTTCCCAGAGAGCTACTCCATGAGTGTAGGGCACAAGTACAAAGGCAACATTTTTGCCTTACTAACTAATCTCACAGCTGTGGGTTTTTTCTTCCAAGTCATCACATTTTGGAATTTTGCAAGTATACACAATTTCAAGAGTTATTTTCCCAAACCTGCTCTGAAGTCTAATTCAGCTTCTGCTTCCTCAAATCCAAAATTATTCTTTTGGAGGATTACTAACAAAATCCCAGCAGAGCTCATCCTTCCATTCTCAAGGTGATAAACAGCACATTTCAGGTTTTGGATAGCTCTTTTAAGATTCTTTTTCCCCCAAGCATTTAGCTATTTTATTTAGTTCTGATACTAGGCAAATTTTAAAAGCTAATGACACAAAGCTCTTTTGCTCTCTGCAGACACTGACGAATGCAGAACCTCAAGTTACATATGTCAGTACCAGTGTGTCAACGAGCCAGGGAAATTCTCCTGTGTGTGCCCTGAAGGATACCAGGTAGTAGGAGGCAGAACATGCCAAGGTAAGTGCCTGCCCCTTGGCAGGTTCAGCCCTGCATTATTTACACCACTTCAGGCTAAGCATGATTGCTAGCTAAATGGTTGTATTGCATGACAGGATTACTGTGCTGAGAGCAGAAGATATGTTGATAAAGCATTTGATGATTCAATAAATATCTTCTAATCTCATTTGAATCCTTCAGCTCAAACTCCAAGTCCTTTGGATTCCTAGGATAAAATTTCAGTTTTTGCAGCCCTCGGGTAAAACTTGTCTTGGATGTCAAGGTAGTGGCTCTGAATTTGAGATCAACATCTCTGAATAAATCCAGGTCATTTTTTAACGACATGAAACATGTCTTTATATTATGTTTCTTTTCAGAGAGATTCCTAAATCCTGTCACAGTAAAAATTAAAGATATGCTTCTTCTGATAAAGGAGGAAAAAATGCAAGCCTTCAGCAGCTTAGATAATTCATGTGTAGAAAAATAAGTATTCTGGCCAGATGCCACCAAATGCCAGGATTTTCAAGTTTGTGGTTTTTTCTCAGTGGTGCTAAAAGTCTCTGCATCTTATTAGAGAATATTGCAGAACAATATATTAAGTGCAAGAACTATTGTTTCTGTAATGCAGAACCAGATTGAACAGAACATATTTTTAGAAATAAAGAGGTGTGATAATTAGGGCCAGAAAACATGAGAAAATACCTCTTCTTTATCAGTATTTTGTCTTACAAATCCTGATTAACTTCTTTCCCTTCTGAACAACAGCAGCTGACAGTGAGCACTGCGGGATGGTTGATTAAAGCATCTAAAAACCTGTTTGTGCCTTCCAAGAGATTCCTTTTGGATAAAGCCTTTCTGTGCCTGAATGAAATTTAGGAGACCGTGTGGGTAGACAGTGGGGCTCTGGCATTAACAGGAAATAGAGCATTAATACAGTTCAAGGCTCACAGTCTCCACCTCCCTTCAGGGTTCTTTTCTCAGGCAAAAGAAGCTCTACTTTGCACGATAAACAAGTTTGCACTATTCCTTCTAAAGCTATTTTGATGAAAATGTAGCCATTAATGAAGCACTTTAAACCACGAAATCCAGGTTATAACAACTGAGAAGCTGCAAAAGGCAGGTAATCACAATTCTACCTTGAGACCTTTTTCCTCTGTCTCCAGGACGCTTTCAGCTGTACAATCATTCTTTGCTAATTATAAACTTGACAGCATTTCCACAATTGCATTATATATGATTAATGTGCATCTCCAGTTAGCTAAAAGCATTCAGTCTTAACATCCAATAAGCAAGTTTATTCCACTTCTGCACAGAGAAACCCTTTATAGCCAAGTCCCAGAAAACAAGACAAGAACAAGGACATGGAAAGCTGATGGGTTTCAACAGACAAGCAGGTTTTTGTGTAGTACATGTGTAGCAACCCTGTTTCCATCTTCTTTGACACAGTCCCTCCTCCTTCCTCCTAGATATAAATGAGTGTGAGACCACTAATGAATGCAGAGAGGATGAAATCTGCTGGAATTACCATGGAGGGTTCCGTTGTTACCCCAGAAATCCTTGTCAAGAGCCCTATGTCCTTACCTCGGAGAAGTAAGGGAAAAATTAAAAATTAAATCTTGTGTTATAGGCTCATCCTCAAGAAGGGACATGATGGAATGAACCAGAACATTGTACTTTAATATCTTTTCCTCTGCTCTTCCCGTTTGTGTGGCAGCCGCTGTGTGTGCCCGGTGTCCAACGCCATTTGCCGGGAGCTGCCCTACTCGGTGGTGTACAAGTACATGAGCATCCGCTCCGACAGGACCGTGCCCTCCGACATCTTCCAGATCCAGGCCACCACCATCTACCCCAATACCATCAACACCTTCAGGATCAAGTCTGGCAACGAGAACGGGGAGTTCTACCTGAGGGTAAGTACAAGTTCAATGGCTTTTTGATGCTTCCTTACCAAGTGTACTTGGTTTCCAGTTTTTAACAAGCCTTTTACTTTACTGCTTGAAAACCCTAAACTGTGACTCCAACTGTTTCTTTCAACTCAGGAATATTTAGCAATCCTGGGTCACCCGTGTCAGAGTCACATAGACTAACTCCCTGCCTTCCTCTCTCTGTACCAACACTTCAGATAAATCTGTTTAAGACATAATTATAGAAAGACTCCTTGCACAATTACATTAATTACATTTGTCATTTTGCAAAAGAAGAAATCAATAACAGCATTCTAGAAATCTGTGCCCCATCCCAAGCTAAGCTCAGGCCAACTTACAGTGCTGTTGAGACATAATTAAATCTTTATTTCCCATAGTAAAAGCCAAGGAAGTTCAAAATACTTGGGATAGCAGTATTTCCTGTTAGTGGGATACATTCAAGTAGATACACATAAATAGGAGTGTCTAGAACATCTGCTTTTTAAGGGTTTTCTTGGGAAGAAATCTCATTTTCTTGAACCCCTACAATATTTACAAATTCCCAGGAAATCCTTTTCCCTTCATATATGGCTTTACACTCAGTAAAACAGATTCAGCACAAAAATTTTCTATCAGAAATACAGTAATTGGAAGGTTTTAATGTTTAATTATTTTCCTTCAAATTGGGAGATTATGAGCTTTTGATAGTACAATAAGTGTACCAAGCTGCCGTATTGCCATTCACATCATGTTTACCCAAGGTGGGAACAGGGGATTACTCATCCATATATCATTCATTGTGACATGACAAATCCAGGAGAAAACACTGATTACAGGTTACACATCAAAATCCCCTAACTACCCCCAAAATACAAACAGCTACTTGCTTAAAATAAAAACAAGATCACTACAGGTCCCAGCTGGGTTAGACTCCAGTGTGGCCTTCAGACTGGTCCTTGGAGTAACAATTCCCACCTCCTGTTGCCACCCAACAAGAAATAAGGCCCTAAATAAGGAAGCACGTGTTTATTCCTGCCAGGGGACTGTGGTAAACAAAAATGTACTTAGAAGTTATTCCTACTGTTGTAGTAAAATGCTGAGCTGGCTCCTGGATGCAGCAGATGGACTGGATTCATCTATGCACCCAACACTTGTGACAAGGGGAGAAAATATTTGTAGTAGGTGAAGAGAGAGATGGAGCTGACCCTTTTATCATCATCTGGAAAAGACAAAACTGTTTGACAAACCAGCAGCATAACCCCAGATTGAGAAAAGTGCTTTGAAGCAAAACAAGATGGGGATAGCAATAGGCACACACCAGTAACAAAAACTCCCAGCATTTACAAGGACAACATAACTTCTGGAGCATGAGCCACAATACAGACTTTTGAGCTTCCCTCCACTAAACAAACTCCCTCACTGTTAAAGACATTAAGGCTCTTGTTTTACTTGTTCTCTCTCTATTTTAAAACCTGGTAGATGGAGTTTAAACAAAGACCATCTTGGGATAGATTACCACTTCCCACATCCTCTGGGGGAGTCAGCGTAACCAGGAACAGATTTTGCAGCACAGTTTATTCCTGTGGGCCTCAGTCAGGTGGAGTTTTCCCTGCAGCACAGCCAGGTGTGAGATTAGTCACGGCCCTTTGGAAGTGTTAAAAGCACCCTTGCCTCGTGCATGCCTGTGCTTTGAGGCAGAGCAGTGACACAGCAGCAGGGATGCCGCTGGGAATTGCTGTAGGTTGGACTGAGCTGGGCTTTGTCGTGTTGCTGTTGTTGCAGCAAACCAGCGCGGTGAGCGCGATGCTGGTGCTGGTGAAGTCGCTGTCGGGCCCCAGGGAGCACATCGTGGACCTGGAGATGCTGACAGTGAACAGCCTGAACTACCGCACGAGCTCGGTGCTGCGGTTAACGATCATCGTGGGACCTTACGCCTTTTAGTGTTTGCAACAAGCCTCCACTGGCACTCGCTGCAGCCAAAGAATATTATTAGAAAGAAAGCACTTACTATTTTTATTTATAGATTTTGCTCTCTTTTTTAAAAGAATTTGTTTAGTAAGTTGATCTCTCTTATTCACACATTACACCTGTAATTCCAAATTAGTAGATGTGTTCCATAGTATAACATGGGCATTGTCACTTTCTGTATAAAGATTTAAATCTTTTTTTATTACCTTCCTTGGACTAGATACATACTATGCTTTTATATGAGAACTGTATATTCATTCTATCCTGTAAAGCTTCACACATCCTTCCTAGCCAAATAGGTCATGCAATTTAAAAGTGATCTTCTGTTTGTTTTTATTTTAAATTTTAATGCAGCTACACTGAATCTCAAAAAAGAAAAAAAATTATGTAGTACAAATGATACACAAAGTAACGGTTATCTGATAAGCTAAAATATATTTCTTATTTTTAACTACTTTGTAACAAAAGGTAACAGTAAATAAAAATCTATTTCTGTAGACATTTATGTCCTATCACAGTTGGTTGGTTTTTCTAATCTGGGTTGGAGGTAAAGTGACATTGTGAGAAATAGTTTTTGTATGCAGATTTTGTTAACCATAACCATGAAATAACATTATGCTCTCTCCAAGAAAAATCGATTGTAGAAAGAAAATGTCTCCAACAAAGAAAGAAACTCCAAATGGGAAGTCACCAGACAGGGCACAAATGTCCATGAGAACACTGTTGGTAGTTACTGCTCAGAAGGAGGCAGCATTTTCAGACTGAAGTTAACATTTTCCAGAAATATTATTTTGTATACTAAGCATTGAGTGCATTTTCTTATTAAGTTATATCATTTTCAGGCACTCAGTCCTGTTCTTGCTCTTACAGCTCAGATGTATCATGTACAGTGTTCATAAAATTTATTTCTAATTCAAGAACTAATAACATCTTTTGTAATATGTAAAATCTTATTTCTTGTTTAAAATGTAGTAGTTAATCCTTTGATGTACAAAATTCTTAATAAAGATCTCTTACCATATTGTATTTGGTCTATTCTGAGGTAGTTTGTTACTACTGCTGTTATTGTCACATACTGTGGGAGTTGGCAAAGCCATGTTGAAGTCTGAACAGTCAGATCTCAGCCTGTACAGGATGAGTTCTTGGACGACTCAAAACACAATTCCTTTGTAGAAGAACAAGCCTGATGCCTACTGAGATTAAGATTTAGTGACAGCAATGGTTCACTCCAAAACAAAACTTGGAACAGGCCACAACCACTGTGGTTGAGGGCAACACATCCCCCTGCCCGGGCAGACTGCAGAGCAGGACCCCATTATCCAATGATCATTCCTTCAGGAAGTCATTTGTGGCTTTAAACAAACACTTCATCTGCCAAAGGCTCAGAGCACGTGGCTGCAGCACAGGCCAGAAAATCGTGCTGGGGCTGGGTCACATCATCTTTGCCTGGGGCCTGAAGCAGTGGGGTGAGACCCCCAGCGCTCCTCATCTCTCCCAGCAGGGAGGGGCTCACCAGGACACACCCAGGTGCTCTATATTGAGATTTAACTGGGGTTTGCCGTGGTGAAAATCTCTGCTACAGAGTGGCTTGTAGGGAGCTCCTTCCTCCCCATTCATCCCTACAAGTCCCACTCAGTCTGAAAGGCAACTCCTCGTTCCACACAAGCACTGAACAAGATGCCTCCAGCCTCCTGCTCCTCCATGTAATTCCCGTGGCAAACGGCACATACTCACCTCTACATGTCCTTTCATTAGCTTTGTCTCTTGATGTAGGCTATCCTCACAAGCTGTGCTTCCCCTCAGGCACCCCCCTCCACCCCCAATATCAGCACTGTTCTTTTACACCAACTTTTAACTTCCAAATTGTGCAACTCAGCATTGCCCACTCCAAGAAAATCTGTTTTGGTACTTTTAAGTTTAAAATGGGCAATTCTTTCTTTAAGAGGTACCCAGAAGAGGCTCAAGTGGCTTTGTTTCCTTAAGACCCCAGACTTGAAGGCCACCATGCTGGTCCCTGGGACAAATTAAAGAACCACAAAGCATCCCTGAAGTCCCAAGCTGCCAGGCTCTGCCCCAAGGATTTACTCAACCAGTTTTTATATCAGTTTCACCAACAGCACTTTTAAGCCTTCCTATTAAAACTCTGCTCATCTGACGGGAACCCAAAACTGGTCATTATATATAAAAATATTTATACACCTCTCAAACAGCAGAAGCAACAGAGGCACTTGTACCTCACACACATGCCCAAGTCATCCTCAGCCTTCAGAGGATGCACCTCACTGTGCAGGATACTTGGCTCAATCCACTTTATTTACACACAGCTGCCCTGCTCCCTGTCTGTTTGCAATATTCAGGTGTCCAGCAGACCACTGAGAGCCCAAAGTGGCCAAGTCACGGTTGTCACAGAGCTCAGGAGTGCCTATCCAGCCCTGAGTTACTATTCTGCAGGCTGGTTGAGCCTGAACGTGTCACTGGGTGTGGGCAGCACTTCCATGAGAGCCAGGAGCTGGAATAACAGCAGCCCCTCCAAACCAAAACAGGAGCAGAGCTGAGCTCTGCAGAAACTGGCAGGGGGTGGTTGGTTTTGTTTTGGGTAGGGGTGGGGTACATGACTGAGCCTGAAAGGAGCCCACAGAAGATGGTTCAGAGCCTGAATGAGAGCTTTTGCATACCAAAAAACCTTCATATTTTCAGGAGGGAAACCTATAGGTCCTCCAGTTCTCCAGGCAAGTAGAGCTTCACCTGTTCCCTACAAATTGTATGCAAGTGCAGCAAACATGCAACAAGAGTTTGAAGAGCTACTTGGATTATAAGGGACACTAAAATCCCAAGAAATTATATGATAGCATTGTGTTTTCTCAGCCTTCTCTGTATCCCACTGCCATGACCATTACCAAGAGCACACTCCTGGAAGGATTCTCATATAAATCTGTCAATGTTGGAGAAGAGTCTAAATCGGGATCACATGCAAAGTTTACTATCTTCTCAGAAACAGAAAAGAGGGAGAAAATAGAGGGAAAAAATGGGACTGAGTAAACAGAACTTAAGGAAATCAAAATGCAAGTTCATTCACTTTCCCAGGACCACCTGAACACAGTGCAGTGGGATTATTTTGCTTGGAAGGCTCACAAATGCAAGTTTGTTGTTGAATCCCGTTTCCATGACTGCAAAGAGTTGCTTGTGTTTTGAATGATCATCCGTGTTTCTAACTTTATAAGTCTCCTAATAAAATATAGAACAGCTGCTGCCCCAGTCAGCTGTTGAGCATATGGAGCCCACCAGGGACAAAGCCCACTGTTAACACAGAGAATTATTTTTAACGCCCTCACATATCTAAACCTCCCCATCATCTCAGCAAAATGGCACAATTCCACACTTCCCAGCTGGGGGAACACCTGCGTCATACAAAACTGAACTGGGCTGCATCTGCTACAAAACCCAATTTTATTTCATCTGGCCAGCAGAAAAAAGTGCTCAGCCTCAGTGAATAGGGCAAAAAGTTAACTGTGCTCTATATCTGGGGAAAAGCAGATGTCTAGTTAAGATGTTTATACATCAAACATTTCTGTATATATTAGGAGGAAAGAGAGCTGTTTAATAAAACAGGGTTGGGCTAGAGTTGCCAAAGCAAATTTGCAGGGCAGTACAACAGCTTTTGTAATTTTTGCATGGGAAAAGATATGAAATCCTGCTTTATATTGATATTGATTATGTGCATAGAACAAGTTATTTTTTTTTTAAGTAAGTGACCTCCAAGTTAACTCCTTAAAGTCTCACAATTACTGTGTGTATTTTCTCAGCAGAAAAAGCAGCAAATATCATGTCACAGAAATACAACGAGGCAGCATTAAAGGCACCCCCTGATTTATTCTCTGCTATATCAGCAAGCACCTTGATACTGGCTGAGGGACCAAGATACACAGCAACAATTCCTGCAGACCAAAATACTGGAATCAGGTGAACTCCAGGTTTTGTTTGCAAACGCATCCACTCTGTCAGTCACATGCTTTCTCATGAGATAAATTATTTTGCTTTCTGATCCAGAATCCCAGTGGTCCCAGCACTCTGCATCCCTGCCCCTTCACAGAAATGCATTTGGATAATTATTTTTAAATATTAATCATATTTTTGTAACTTCTACCTAACCAGAAAGTACATTTATATTCAAACAGCATAAACATTCAAAAGGTGCAGCTCTCTGCTAAGCACTCCAGCAACCCCTGCCCTGCAAACACACTCTGCTGCACTTCATTGCATTGCTGTAAAAAAACATTCATTTTTCCTCTCCCCTCAACACTTAAGACACCCACTAAAGCTTCTGCAGGTCCACAAAATCTCCCAAAGCAAAGACATGGCCCACCCCCATCCATACACCTGAACAAGCACACAGAAAGGCTTTCAAATGGAGCAGCCTGCCAGCTGGGTTGACAAAAGCAACATATTTATGCTGCTAAACTCTGAAACCACAGCCATGGAAGTTACACAGGCACCTCAAGGTTTAAATCCTACCAGTGCCACTCCAGAAACATCTGAACCTGAGACCACCTCCTCTGGAGGGTCACATTTTCTTCTTGCACTGGAGTGTTTCTGAAGTATCTCTGTGTAACATACAGGAATGTTTCCTATACAGAATATATACAACAAACACCCAAGTGGGAAGTCAAAAGAGCAAAATTCCTGCAGGCGGCATGGAAACTAGGAAAACAAACAAATTTTGGAAGCTCGGAGCAAGGGCTGCAGAGGGGAAGCCAACATACCAAAGCAGCAGGGTAAAAGGCATTATTAAAATCAATAAGTCATTCTCTGAGAAGCTGAGGCTTTACATGAACACAGCAAATGGAAACGTTCCTGAGCTCTGGAAGGTCACGGGTGAAAACAAACACGGCAGGCCAAAGGAGCAGCTTGCAAATGCCTGCACTGGCAAATCAAAATTCTCACAATCACAGCAAAAGCAACATCCCAGGAGGCTGATGGGGCCAAAGGGGACCCACACATCAGGGAGACAAGCAAGAAACAATAATGCCGTGGTGAAAAAAATGAAGTGAAATTTTCTGTTGCGTGCCTGGAGGAGGAATTTGGCTCAACAGCACTGTGCCAGAGCTGCTCTTACAGGCAACGTATCAAAGGACCTGCCCCAGAGTAAGAAGTGGATAAAAGACAGGGAACAGTAAACTTTGCTAATGGTATCCAGTTGTTCAGGTAAAGATGAGCATCCTCTGGAAAACAGAGCCCCTATAGTGCTCTGAATATTGAGCAGGAAATGCCAAATAAAACCAAAGGGGATAAATGCAAAGTGATGCACATGCAGGAAGTTATCCCAGCTTATTTGAACAGCAAAGGCCTCTGGACTGACCACTACCTCCCAGGAGAGCATCAGGGTTATGGCAGACCATGCAAAGAGGAAACCACAACTCCACAAAGCTAATCCAGCATTGGGAATAACTGGGGATCAGAGCAGGGAATGAAGCTGAACCTTTGCACACTTGTGCAGATGCACTACAGCATAAACACAGCTTGGAGTTTGGGTCCTGTCCCCCTGTTACAGCAAGATGCTGGGAATGTTAAAGCCCAGACCAGGCTGAGATTTAACTGCACACATTCACAGCAAAGCCTCCCAAGATCATTAAATACGTGGCTGTCCTGGACAGGAGCCATTCCCCTGGCACCCGCAGGCACAGGGGAAACATTTCCAGTTTGCCATCGGCAGCTCCGGAGCTGTTGCACACCCTTGCCAGGAGCTCTGCCGTCAGCACCAGCTCTTATGGTGCCAAATGCCCAAAACCTGAAAATCCCACCAAAAGAAGAAGGGAGCAGCCTGCACAGAGCATGTTGGTGCTGCCTTCATCCCCTGCATTAGTGAGGTTTTTGTATAGTTGCTGCCAGCACCAGGTTCGGTGCCCAAATATCACACCCAGCTCAGCAGTGGCAACAACTGCATCAAAGCCAACTCAGCCAGCAGCAAATGTTTGTAAAAAAAGTCACCTTCAAGGGAGAAAAATTACACTTCTGCCCAGTTTAAAGGC